AGGAATGCCTGTAATACAGAACATTGTAGAGAATATAAATTATGTATTCTGAATGTGAAGTTCAGTTTTGGCTTCTGTCTTTCCCCCATTTCTCTTTTCAGTTGTTCATGATACCTGAAATTTCCCGTGTTTTGTCTCAACCCCCACACGTATTTTTTCCTTTGGGGGAAATTGGAGCAAAATCAATTTTAGTGCAATTTTTCAAGCTTCTTTGACTTGCACCTACATCTGTTTGGTGTGGGGGAGTGGAATTTTATCATAAAACGTTTGATTTATTTAATGTATTCAATAAGCATCCAAGATGTGCCAGGTACTTTCTCAGCCCTATTTGGATGAGAAATCTTGCAAGCTAAGAACTTAATAAACAAAGAAGCTACAGAACTCAAAAGTTTCCCTGCTATTAAGGTCTCCATATATCTAAGGAATAAACCAAGTTTGAACAAAGCAGATCTAGAGACTTGTAAAGTACAAAATGTCACATGCAGCACTGATGAGATAAAACACAGGAACAACTATTTGTTTTACATATTTCTTAATCCTATAATCTGTCCAATTTGCAACAATCTCAGCTGAGATGTCTCCATGCAGCATAGCAACTTTCATTGCAACTATGAGTCTATTTTTATTGATGAAGCCACTGCTGTGACTTTATGATGCTGTGCTAAGGGTTTATCTAAACAGGGTCATTGATTGGGACCAAGGTAAGTTACAAATCTGAGCAGAAGAGCTACTCCCAATTAACTTCATCATCCTAGTGAAGAGATGATTGGGAATAGTTAATAAGGAATAGCTGTTCTGGAATAGTCCCTTCTTAAGACAAACCCTTACTCTTTCTATAATTGCATTCCAGGGAGCTATTCTGTACTGACTCAGCATGGGATAGAGTGCGTAGAAGACGTTCAGACCAAGCACAGCTAGCGGTGAGTGGGTCCATATACACTGGGATGCCCTGTTGCAATTATTATGAGTGAACAGGAGAATAGCAAAGTTGGTTGTCTTTGCATCTCTCTAGAAGGCACAGGGAAGTATTATATCAAAATCACTGTACAAAGGCCTCTCTTCTAGCAGGGCTGACTTATGAGCTGATTGCTATTGTCTGATCATTAACTGCATATTATGGACAGAGTATGTTTCAACTTGTAACTTAATACAATTTGATTAAATGTTGGGGTGTGGAAAGGACTTGTGTGGTTTTTTCAGTGTGTAAATTTACATTATTATGTGGGGAGCAGTCAATTCATCAAACTCATCTGATTATTCAACAGTGGAGAAAGATGATTGGACAAAAATTTATATTGTGTCTAAGGTGGACACAGAATTAGTTTAAAGGAAATTTGTACAACCTTTGAGGAGAACATACACTAACTAATCAAATAAAGGAAAAGCCAATAACTTATAATGCCATTAACATTTTTCTGTAGCATAAAATTTTGTGCTTGACCTTGCCAAGGAGGATGAGCTGAAGTAGAGATGGTGCATTTCTATTTTAATGCATTGTAGTTGTAATATAGTTGCTGTTAATTCATAGTTCTCCTGACTTTTGGAATTCATCCCTTTCCTTAAAAGGGAAGGTGGCAGCCTGGAGTGGAGAAGCTCCAACTTCAGCCCTTTGGATGTTAATCCACCCTGACTTTCTTAAGCCTCCTACTTAAATCATTATCTTAATGAATCACCACTGCTGCTATCTTCAGTGCTACACAGGAAAATGCAAATTTAAAAAAGCCTGGGGGAAAGACCTTTTTGTCTGTAAAGTGCTCTGATACTTGCATTTAGATGTTGCCGTGATAGGTACCTTGAATACTACTTTTTGCCTAACCCCATGGATAGATAGATCATGGGGTGTAGTGTATCACCAGTGTGTGCCTCCTAGGTGGCTCTCAGGGCTTGGCCCTGGGAGGAGATGGATGTGATTCTGCAGCTGAGTGTTAGAAGCAGCTTTAGCTCAAGTGGTTGAAGCAGGTTTGTCATTCATCTCACTGCCTGTTGGCTATGTTTTTCTTCCATTGCAAAATGACAAGGAGTTAAGGGAGTGAGGATGGGGGTCCCCCCTCAGCTCTGCAGCTGCCATTGTGACTTTGGGGCAAGTTCTCTTCACCTGATGTTTTTCATAGCACAAAAAAAATACTCCATGCAAGCTTTAATGTATCAACTAAAATATCTGCCAAGTAGATATAAATAAATTTGATATAACAGGAAATGACACACGTGCTAGAAAACCTGAAGAATGTTGGTTTGAGGAAAAACTGAGCATAGCAAAGTGACCACAAAGTATCTCCAAGAGCAGGTTGGATGGGGCTCTGAGCAACCTGGTCTAGTGGGAGGTGTCCCTGCCTATGCAGGGGCCCCTTCCAGCCCAAACCATTCTATGTTTCTATGACTCTCAGCATTGTGTTGTCCAAAATTTTACTTGAACTTGGCTAGGCATTGAGCTCTGCCCACTTTCAGCTCTCCTAGATGATCACTTAAGAAATGTTAATTTGTAGACGGTGGGAATGGAGCCAGCCATGAGTAGCTGTTTCAGATGGCAAATCTTTGAGGCTATTTGCAATGTGCATTGAAAGATTTGATTCCTTTATTCATTAAACCAAAAGGTGAGAAAGCTGTTCTATGCAAATGTCCTAGATGATAAGAAGTATTCTTCTCAAATTGCAAAGTAAACTCACCCATTGTCCCCTTTATGTGGCTTAGAAAAGCCCATTCCCTTACTGTGGGTAACTTTTCCTCACCAATCATAGTTCTGCTTCTGGAACAATGGCAGGATAAATGTAGAAGTTACCAGATGAACACAGATCATCAAATCTCAACTGGGAGAGGACCATATTAACAAAACTGAGCTTAAATGAATTTTCTGCAATAACATTATTAATTGTCAAGTCCTGCTGGGACAGTTGTGCCCATGAAGGGCTAGAACATCTCTCTCAAGGAGAGCATCCTCATTCTTCTCTGCTAAATCTTCTCTGAAACCATTTGAGCTGGAACTAGATGTTTTTAGACTAAAAAGAAATGCATTTTCTTGGCTCATGCTGAAGCTAAGTAACATGTTCTCAGTTGGTTCCCACAGAAAGGGGATGTGAGCAAACAGCAGTGCTGACTTTTTGCAGCTCAAGGCCTGGACAGGAATGCAGTGGGAGGCAGGAGATGCTGCTGCCTTACCCATTTGTGCACACCTTCCTGGACAGCAGCAAGTGACTAGCCCTGGGACTGAAACTTTTTTACTGTCTGGTATAGCTCTGAACAGACCAACACTTTCTTGTAATAGTGTTTAAGATACTTTTTGGAAATTGCTGTACAATTATAATTTTTCTGCTCACTGTGAGCTGACTGTTGTGTTTTCTATATTCAGGCCCCTAGCTGGTTCTGATCCCTTGTTAGATGGCAGCATTTTATAATACAGGGGTAAATTAACTGGGGAAGCTATCTATTATGTCAAGAACAGCCAGAGTAGGAATTTCAGAAGAAATACCAGAAGTCATTTATATATGTGTGTGTCTGTGTATTGTGTGTTCATTTCAAAAGAGAAGACTAAGCTGACTAACATTTGAGGCTATTGGCAAAATTCAAACACAATTTTTTCTCTTTCCAGTCTTGAAAAGTAATGATGATGGTGTGGGCAGGTCTCTGGCTGACTTTCTGAATTGTCTTGATGTCAGAGCTCCAGCAAGGGATTTAGTGGAATTTCTCATCCTGTTGAGTAAAAGTGATACTCTATTCCACGTTAGTTTCCTTAGGAAACACAGGAAAGGGACTCTCTTCCCCAGCACTTAACACATCCAGTGTTATTCTTGCAGGCACTGTATGCAAAATTTTCACAAAATGAGATCTCCAGGAGAAAGGTTTTTATTTCAATATGCTGAACTAGCTTGCTTTATTTGCCTAGCTTTTGCATGCTATCTTATACCTGTGGGTACTAGCAGAGTTTTGTTGATGTACAAAGGTTGTTATTTCTATAGTTTGCTCATTCAAATTCAGAGGTTTATAACTATGAAAGTAAAATGTGTCTGTGCTATTATTTTGTTAAGCTGTCTTGAGCTACTTCTGTTAACCACATGTTCACAGGAGTCTGTTTGCTGAAATCACCTGCTCAGTTTTCTGGTCAGGTATGCTGAGATTCAGTGTTTCAGCTTATAACTTCCTGTTTTATGTTATCTTTCTTATAGTGTGTTACAACTGCTTCCCAGAAATTCTGAAATGGGGGTTGAACAAACTGCTCTGTTGTCTCTCCCAGCACTTGCTAATTTGGCAGTATTTGAGCTGCTACTAAGAAGCCTAGAGAAACTGCAGCTGAGCACTGTGACTGCTACTGTGAACAAGTGATGCACATGGTATTACCCAGATAGATGCATTTCAATCTGCAAGCATATCTGTCATTAATTGTAAGGGCTTTTGGAACCATGATAGTTCAGCTAAGAGAGTGGAGATAGCCAAGCAATTTCATGGAGCTGCTGTATTTGGTGAAGTCTGTAGGGATTAGCAGGGGCTTATGAGGTGGGGTCTTGAATCATGCATTGCAGTGTCAAGTCTGGCTGCTACTTCAGGACAGTCACTTGTTGTATGGGGACACCTGGGAAGTTTCTTAAGACTGAGATATTAGCTGGGATAAGCTTAAGAAAGTGTTCTTGATTGGTCTGTACAGATACTAATGCAACAGTGCTTCGGCTGGTGTGCTGGGGAGGACCATGTACTTTCTGCTTCTCTGGATCGTGGGATTTCTCACTGGGTGTTCAGGTGAAACAAAGTACCTCTGAGTTTTGAGCAGCTGCAGGTTGCCAGGCTTTGGGGAAGGCTTTGGTGGGAGGGAACAGCAGGGATTTGAAAGCTGTGAGTTTGGCTTGAATTTGGTACAAAAAATGAGAGACCTGCGGCAGCGGTTGTTGGGAGATGAAAAATTACAGCTGTCACCTCATCAGACTACTTAAAAGCATTTATCTGAAGTGAGTCCCCAAAAAGTTATTGCAGAGAGACTAATGGCCAACTGGGAGGAGATGCTGCAGTCCCTGAAGAATCAATAAACTCTCTGGCTGGTTGCCCAAGCTGGTAAACCAAACAGAAACCATCAGTATGTTGCTATGTAAATTCATGGTGTGCCAGTATCTTAAACACAGTGCAGTTCTGATTACCGCCTCTCAAAGGTAGTGGAGGGCTAGGAAAGGTCCAGAGAAGGCCACCAAAGATAGCTCTCAAGTCAGTCAATGTGATTTCTCTCTTTGCCACAGAGAAGAGATGACTGATTACTGAATTGCAGATGTTTTATATTGTCGTGAATGGGGTGAGGAAGGGGAGCAGGGAGTCATTCTTCACGGTTCTTGTGTTAACTAAATTGATTCAAAGCAGGCAAAGAGGAGGCACTCTGTCAACCAGCAGTTACCACGTGAAACTCATTGCCAGGGGGTGTTATGGATAGCAGAAGTCTAAGCAGATTGAAAAATCGATGAAGGACAGATAAGTTTGTATTAGAAGTGATGGCCTGGATACAACCACTGCATCAGGAATTCTTTAACAATTGCACAGGCTATAAGAAGGAAAAAGACTGCCTATGGTCCATTTCACTGCTTTTCCTCCACTCCTGCCCCTTGTGCTTGGTTGTTCATTATTTCTTTTGGCCCTATTCTGGCTACTCTTGAAGAACAAACACAGAGCTAGACCTTAGCTCTTACGTCAATTTTTATAGTTCAAAACTAGAAAGAAGACCAGCTATGCTGCAATGCAGGGTACTAGTTTTGCTTTGCAGCCCACGAGTAACATAAAGCACACTGAAATTAAGATAATTTAATACCTTAAACATGTGTGTGTTATAAAATGCCTCTGTAGCTTGCTTTCTTTATTAAAATTCTGACTTAACAAAAAGCTGAGCTTGTTAATGAAGCTGTGAATCACTACAGTGTTTCTAGTTCTTTTTCTAACTTTGTGTTTGGTGCTACAG